GCTACCGAGGGGACTGGTTGTGATCGTTATACTTGCTTTCTAGGACATTAAACCACTCATATTTACGAACTTTCATTTTTTAACTCGGTAAAACGTCTTTCTGAAAATAACGTGCCTCGCATTCTGCTTGATCTGACCCACTCGGACCAAAAAAATTAATTTTCAACCGGGCAACAGTCTATTTGGTAAAACTATCCAGTTTACATTAGTCTCCTTTGGTGTAAAAACATGCATTTGGTCCTGAACAGATACCATCCAACCCCAGCTTTGTGGGGCTTAAGTTTCGAACCCGATCCGACCGGTGAGTGCCCCTCTACTATAGTTAATATTTACGACCACAATCGACTAGAGAACGAGCCCGTGCGTCAATGGTCAGAGCGTTAGTCGTACTAACGTTCGACGGCCAAAGAACGTGGGTTCGGCCGTCGGGTCCCGCAAACCTGAGGTCGGGTAAGGTTTGTTGACGACGGTTAAGTAGCCAAAAACGGTCACCCTAGTCTCCCTTGCCTTTGTCACAAAATCACTTATGTTCAGGCGACTGTCTGCCAGGGCCTTAGATCCAGTCCATAGCACAACGGCCGATCGGTGAGCGCACTTCCACCACGATATGTAATATGCAAGTGTGTGTATATACCATCTAATCTATAGACGTAGGTATGTATGTATAAATGGTAACCAACCGTAATATTAAGTACAATATAGGCATACTACAATATATATATATATATAATATATGTATGTATATGATACAAGATAAGCATGAAACTTATATTTATACAGTTACTATTCGTTTACTTACTATTTGTATGTTGATATTTGCATGAAACCTGCGTAAAGAAAAAAGAAACAGTTATAGCGATAAAGTTTGTAATTATGGACGAAACCCTGTCCCCATATACGCCCTATCATTTCGCCCCCAGCCCCCCCTCCCCCTCCCCGGCATGACTGAATGCTGCCCGCGCGTTGCACTCTAAATCACGCCGGACAAGTTATCACTGTAATCCTAACTTTCATACTTGGATGGCATCTCTCCCCCTCCCCCCCTCGCCATGCGCATCCGCATACTAGACCCATGTTTCAGGTTACCTATCACGTTTTATCTCTCTAGGTCGATTGTTGATTGAACAGTTTGCCTTGTCATATAACTATGCAATGACCGTACGCATCTGAATGAGAGGTCTCGAAATTTATGACGTCAGTAAATACTGCATGCTTTGTCGCCTTTGCCTTATTCAAATTTATTCCGAGAAAACATTGCTTCAAAGTTTGTGATATGAAATGTATGCCTATTTTGTCAGTATGGTGAAGCATGCAACGTAAAATATACATGTGTGTATATGCACTACAGCATGGAGGGCAGTATCGCCCACCTTCCGGAGATCCTGGCCCTTAAACGAAAATACAAGGCCTATGTATACCTCGATGAGGCGCACAGCATCGGCGCCCTGGGACCACATGGAGGTGGTGTGGTGGACTACTTTGGCATTGACCCCTCCGAGGTGGACATCTACATGGGCACCTTCACAAAAAGCTTCGGTTCCTCTGGCGGCTACCTGGCTGGCAGTCGTCGTTTCATCGACTATGTGCGTGCTCATTCCCTCAGCACTACCTACGGAGGCACCATGCCGGCGCCGGTCTGCCAGCAAGTGATCTCTTCTATGCGCATCATCATGGGTCGGGACAACCAGGGGGAAGGTGCTCGTAGGTGAGATCTCTTGTCTACTACAAACGGGACTTTAAAACAAGTGGCATTTTTGTTAGATTTGCCGCGTCTTCTTTACTCAGCGATTATTTAAACGACTTGCAGGGCTTACCGAAATAGACTACACTTTGTCGGCATTGGAGCGAGTGAGAATAACTAAATGCTTTAAATATTATTCGCCTTACTTGCTGTTTCTCCTTATAAACTCTGAAGCTCTCCAGTTCTTTCACGGTATATATATATATCTATATAACAAGCGAATAATTTCAAAAGTTATTCAGTGCAGGACATGGAGTTAGGTCTTCGGGACATGACTTTTTAGAGCCAGACCCGAAATTTCAAAGAACGTTTGAGTCGAAGACAATCAACTACTGTGGAATAACCACGTAATGCCCATTCTACAAACAAGTAGTGCTACGAGTAGTATGAGGTGTATATGGCAAACGTATTATACCGGGCTCCCGACATGGGCACTAACTAAAAGCTCAGACACGTGTTTCGCCCACATTCTGCCGCTGTGGGACAGTTTCGAGAGGTTCGGCTCTTCAATGGGTATCCCAGCGTTCCCTATGCGGTTTCTGGTATATGAACTCCAGAGAAGAATCAAGTGAATAATTTCAGAAATTATTCAGTGCAGTACATGGAGTTAAGTCTCCGGGACATGACATTTTAGGGTCAGACCACAAAACCGCATAGGGAACGCTGAGGGACCCACTGAAGAGCCGAACCCCTCGAAGCTGTCACGCAGTGGCAGAATGTGGGCGAAACACGTGTCTGGGCTTTTAGCAAGTACCTATGTTAGGGGTACGCTTGCAATATATAGATATAATGGTAGGGAGCGCTAACCGATCTTTCTTACGGAACTCACTCGTCCCGTTGTGCCTTACGGGCTCTCTCTCTCTCGAGCCCAACCTGCAGCCGCACAGCGGCGCATTATATAGGCAGAATAGCATTACCGACAAAGACAAGGACGACTGGAATGGCCATTTCTGGCTTATTAACCGTCGTCAGCTAGTCATACCCAACCCCGAGGTGTGGAACACCTGAAGCAGTAGATGTGCTAGCTCATGAAATGTAAGCGGAAATTCTAAAAAAAGTACGTATTCTACTCGAAAAGTTCACGTAGGTATGGTTGTAGTACTAATCATCCGGCAGTATAATTCCAATATAGTTCAGTTACTTCAGGATGCTTAAAAAGGGTATAATTCGGTTTTGAAAACTCCAATTCCCGAATAAATTTGAATCCTACGTGTCGTAACACTTGCATTCAGGGTTTCCGTACTACAAGCTGCATACTTTTTATGTACGGAAAATCATATATTTATATAAGGCATTAAGAGGAGACCATATGGGTTCTTAAAATTTAACAGTGGACCGGAGCCATATTGTGAACTTTACAAGCAACATTAGTAAATGCAGAGGCATGATGTTTTATGAGCGGGCATTTCACAGTCTTAAAAAGTCTCATGATTGAAAACCTTTTAAAAACCGGATTATACCCTTTCTTTGGGCCTAGAATTTAAATAAGACGTGATTTCCTTACAAATGAGTAAAAGAATGGATATTTTCATGCATTTTTTCCGTGAAATATGTTAAAATTTAAAAGGGAGTCGAAAATCAATGAGAAAAATCTATGCTACTTAAGTAGTCATTTTTTACAGAGCGTACTTTTTGCAGGTGATCGAAAAGCAGTTCACCCGAAAGCCGTCATCCTGAAGTAACCGAATTATTTTGAGAGTGTGCTGCAAGGTGATTAATATTACAACCCTTCTTAAGTAATCTTTTCGATTCGAAAACGTATTTCAGAATTTCGACTAACACTTTATGGGTTAGCACATCTACTGTATATATATACATAGTTGTTCGGCCGTCGTTGCCGCCTATGTCTATCATGAGACCCACAACAGCGTGTAGGCAAGGACAATGATTTGCGTGTGATTTAGTTTATAGTGATAGTAGACGTGCGATGCATCTACCGCACTCACTTCTCCCTCACGCACCTGAGCCCGGTGTCAAGAAAGTAAAGATTTTGAAGAAGGTGGCACGATCGGTGGGACAAGAGCTTCATTAGCCTGACGTTTCGGATTCCTGGCCCCCAGTCAATTAACAAGTGCAATGATCTTCCCATTCAATACTCCGTGCTGAGACTTCGTCTAGGCGGAGTAATTGGCGACGCGGGGAGCGCACAGGTGAACACTCTTCCCAACACCAGGGTCAACGCGTCACATGTTCGAGCAATCATCACACCAGCATCCAACGCACGTGATGAACTTGCAGCAATTAACGACGCGAATGTCGGCCATCACACCACGTGCAATGATCTCTGATGATGGAGGGAGCCGTGAATATTCATAGGTATGCGGTAGCATGGCTACTGCAGCCCCTTATGCATGAACCACCCTTATCTGCTTTTGCCTCCGATGATGGGTTCGAGCAGGAGTCCGAAACGTCAGGCTAATAAAGCTCTTGTCCCAGCGATCGTGTCTCCTTCTTCAAGACTGCTTCCTGGGACTCGTCTCTTCGCTTCTATTGATAAAGAAAAGATTATCGGAGGCGGATCGTGCTCAGGAGCTGGCAAGGCTGAACAACCTTGTCTGCGCATGCCACACACACCCGATTGGCGCACGATGAACCAGGTTTTTACACACAAACAAGAAAGGAGGGATTCGGATCCAAACACACAGTGGCGGTGTCCGTCTGCGCGTGCCATACGCGACCTAGCCCGTAAATCGGGTTTACACAGAAAGTGCGTAGGCGGATCGGGTCTCCGCATAAAAACGCACAGGACCGGCTGCGGTGTCGTAGTTGTACGTCAGTCAGCAGTCTCTCAAGCCTCAACGTTTAGCGCGTCGTAGTAGTTTAAACACGCCGGATTTATTATGTATACATAGGTGTATCCGCGGGTATGCATGTTCCCTAACCTAATGAATGAAGGTCCTTACCACCGTAATTAACATATCCAATGGTTGCCGACAGGAAAATGGGCCCGCGGCTCAATGACAGTGTTGAACTTAATGCTCAGTCACCAAAGATTCGCGGTGGTAACCCCAGGTGATATGACAGTTCGACCGTCGA